ATAACCAATGGAGGGAAAGCACTAGAATTTAGGAGGATTGGGAAAAGCTTCCTGTAGAAGACAGGATTTTAGTTAGGATTTAAAGAAAGCTGTGAGGGGCAGGGCCAAGATGGTGGAGAGAAAGCAGTGACTGTCTTGAGCTCTCTCCCAAAGCCCTCCAAATACCTAAAAAAATGGCTCTAAGCAAATTCAAAAGCAGCAGAACCCACAAAAAGACAGAGTGAAACAAATTTCCAGCTAAAGAGAGCCTGGATGGTTGATCAGAAAGGTATGTCGCGCTGGGTGGGGAGAGGAGCGGAGTTCGGCATGGGCGCGCAGGCTGCAGGGACCCCAGAGCAGGTCTCAGAGGGCTGAATTGCAGGCAGCTGTGGCAGTTTCCAGACTTCTCAACCCACAAACACCAAAGACAACTTAGAAGGTCAGTGGGAAAAGTCTGGAGCGCAGCCTGGGGCCACGGCTATTTCCTGAGCTTCCAGCCCACAGACTGAGGGGGAATCAAGTGACTGATCAGAAGGGGATTGCAAGGATCTCTTTGCCAGTGCTGAAGCAGAAATCTCTTGCTTTGCCCATGCTTGGATCTGGGTCACAGTTCTGAGGTGTGGTCCTGGGGCAAGGAGGAACGCTGGCGTGGTGGAGCTTGTTGTGGCAGTGGAGAGGAAACACCTTGCCCCTTATCATAGCACCTTGGAAGAACTGAAAATTTACAGGTCCCTAGAAGTACCTCTGAAAACAGCTGTACAACCCCCCGAAGCTTGGGACAGTACACTCTTCACATTGGAAGCAGACTTTTACCTTAACAAAGAGTTTAATACTCAAGTAATTTGCTGGGATCATGAGTAAGCAGCACAAAAAGAGTCAGACTATATTATCTTACTTTGGTGACAAAGAAGATCAAAACATACGACCAGAAGAAGACAACAAAGTCAAAGCTCCTACGTCCAAAGCCTCCAAGAAAAATATGAATCAGTCCCAGGCCTTGGAAGAGCTCAAAAGGGATTTTGAGAAGCAAGTAAGAGAAGTAGAGGAAAAACTGAGAGTGATGCAAGAAAATCATGAAAAACAAGTCAACAGCTTGCTAAAGGAGACCCAAAAAAATACTGAAGAAAATAACACCTTAAAAAATAACCTAACCCAAATGGCAAAAGAGGTCCAAAAAGCCGATGAGGAGAAGAATGCCCTAAAAACCAAAATTGGCCAAATGGAAAAGGAAGTCCAAAAGATTACTGAAGAAAATACTTCCTTAAAAATTAGAACAGATCAATTGGAAGCTAGTGACTTTATGAGAAATCAAGACACTGTAAAACAAATCCAAAAGAATGAAAAATTAGAAAACAATGTGAAATATCTCAGTGGAAAAACAACTGACCTGGAAAACAGATCCAGGAGAGAGAATTTAAAAATTATTGGACTATCTGAAAGCCATGATAAAAAAAAAGAGCCTAGACATCATCTTTCAAGAAATTATCAAGGAAAACTGTCCTGATATTTTAGAACCAGAGGGCAAAATAGAAATTGAAAGAATCCACCAATCTCCTCCTGAAAGAGATCCCCAAAGGAAAACTAGGAATATTGTAGCCAAATTCCAGAGTTCCCAGGTCAAGGAGAAAATATTGCAAGCAGCCAGAAAGAAACAATTCAAATATTGTGGAAACACAATCAGGATAATACAAGATTTAGCTGCTTCTACATTAAGGGACCTCAGGGCATGGAATATAATGTTCTGGAGAGTAAAGGAGATAGGATTACAACCAAGAATCACCTACCCAGCAAAACTGAGTATAATCCTGCAGGGGAAAAAATGGTCATTTAGTGAAATAGAGGACTTTCAAGCATTCTTGATGAAAAGACCAGAGTTGAATAGAAAATTTGATTTTCAAATACAAGACTCAAGTGGAACATGAAGAGGTAAACAGGAAAGAGAAAATCATAAGAGACTTATTAAGGTTGAACTGTTTGCATTCTTGCATGGAAAGATGATATTTGTAACTCATGATACCTTTGTCAGTATTAGGGTAGTTGGAGGGGGAAAAATTATATGTATGTATATATATATATAGAGAGAGATATATAGATAGGTAGATAGAGGGCACAGGGTGAGTTGAAAATGAAGGGGTCATATCTGGAGAATAAAATTAAGGGGTGAGAGAGGAATATACTAGGAGAAGGAGAAAGGGAGAGGTAGAATGGGGTAAATTATCCCACAAAAAAACAAAACAGAAAAGAAAAGGCTTTACAATGGAGGGGAAACAGGGGAAGGTGAGAGGGAATGAGTGAATCTTATTCTCATAGAATTTGACTTAAGGAGGGAATAACATACACACTCAATTAGGTGTGGAAATCTGTCTTACCTTACAGGAAAATAGGGGGGGAAGGGGACAAGAGAATAGGGGAATGATAGAGAGGAGGGCAGATTGGTAAAGGGAGTAATCAGAAGCAAATACTTCTGAGGAGGGACAGGGTCAAAAGAAAGAATAGAATAAATGGGTGGGTGGGATAGGATTAAGGGAAATAGAGTTAGTTTTTCACAGCATGTCTACTATAGAAGTGTTTTGCATAACTGCACATATATAACCTATATTTAGTTGCTTGCCTTATCAATGAGAGTGGGTGGGGAGGGAGGAAAGGAGAAAATTTGGAACCCAAAGTTTTAAAAACACATGTTTAAAAAAATGTTTTCACTTGCAACTGTTAAATAAGAAATACAGGAAATGGGGTACAGAAATCCTTCCTGCCCTACAGGAAAATTGAAGGGGAAGGGGATAAGAGAAGGGGGGGAGAGAGAGAGAAGGGAAGGCAGACTACGTGAAGGGGTATTTAGAATGCATGCCATCTTGAGGTGGGGGAGGGGTGATATGGGGTGAAAATTTGGAACTCAAAATCTTGTGGAAGTAAATGTTGAAAACAAAAAATAAATAAAATTTACCATAAAAAATAAAATAAAAATTAAAAAATTAAAAAAAGAAATCTATGGATGCCAATAGGCAGAGAAGAGTAAGGAGGGCATTCTAAACATGGCAGACAGCCAAAGAAAATGCCCAGAGCTGAGAGATGGAGTGTCCTATTTGTAGAACAGCAAGGAGGCCAGTATCATAACTATGCTTTGATATTGCTTCCAAATCCCTCTGCAAAAATTAGTAAAATCATCCCAAAAATATACTAACCACCTGTGGTACTGTGCCAAGCATATAACATATACAACTACATAAAGGTCTACCACACTTAATTTAATTGTTGGCTCTGGTGCTCAATGCAGTAGTGTCTTAGCACATTCAGAACCACATTAATAAGACATTGTGAGATTCAGCCAAAGGTACACTTGCAGCATAACCGTATCTTAACAGAATTCTTAACTTTTAATACCCCCACCTTCCAAAACTCTCAAAGACATCTATGTCTCTGTGTTGTCTGTGTGGTAGTTCAGATGCTTGTATTTCCCTTCTAATTAATGAACTCCATTGCTGGCTAATTCGCAACAGTGAATACTTCTGGATTCAACTCAAGAAGTACTAAGGGCCCCAAATGTTGGCTCAGTAAAGGTTTTTTAAATAACTGGCATTCATTAGTGCTTTATTATTGTTAGCATTGGAATTATTGGCAATTATTTAAATGATTCATTATATTTGGAGTAGTCTGATGAATACCTTCTATTCAGGCCACTAATTTCTTTATTATCATCACACATAATATTACCAACTCACATTTTCATAGCACTTTCAAGTTTACAAAGTACTTTCCTCATTGTTCTTACCTATGAAATAGGTACACAAGTATTGAGACTCACCAATTTATAGATGAGGAAAAATAGGTAGTTGGAGTCCAAGCTGTAGCTCAAAGCCAGGCCTCATGATTCCAAATCTCTGACTTGAAATTACCTTTGTAGCAACATGTCAGCGCAGACATTAGGATCTCTTGCCATTGATAAGAGCATATGCCTTGGAGCAGTATCTTGTACCTCTAGATACTTAATGAATATTTGGTGAATGGGCCACTTCAGCCTTTAAATACTTTAAATACTATTATCTCTTTTGTCTAAAGGTGCAGTAACAAAAGTAAACAAGTCTGGAAAAGGCTAACAAGTTCAGGTGAGGAAGGCAGTATGGGCAGGAGAAAGAGTACTATGTTCAGAGCTAGAGAACCTGGTTTCAAATTGCACCTCTATTATTGATTATCTGCATGACCTTGGGGAAGTACCAAATAAAGAAAACAATTAACTTATTTGTGAAATGAGAAGTGTCAAGGTGGAAAAATTCAGCCAGGGTTTTGCCTTGATAGCAAAGCACTCTATTAGACAGTATAGGGTGGGTGGTTATACTGCCAGAATTTCTGATATTCCACCACAAACAGTGGCATTTTTAATTTTTACCTTAACTGGAGTACAAACATACTATTTTTGCTTTGAATCTCACTGCCTTTGCCTTCTTGAATCATGATTGGATTCCCTCTAAGCAAGATTTCAAAAGTGTGTTGCATACTTCAGAATGATTTTTTGAATTAGAAAATAAGGGGATGCCCATCAAGTGGGGGATGGTTGAACAAATTGTGATATATGGTATACAATTGTCATAATACATGATAAGCAGACAGATTTCAGAAAAACCTGGGAAGACTTACCTGAGCTGATGCAAAGTGAAGTGAGCAGAACCAGGAGAACTTGTACACAGTAACAGCAACATTGTATGATGATCAACTATAATTGATTTAGCTCTTCTCAGCAATGCAGTGATCCAAGACAATTCCAAAAGACTCATGATGGAAAATGCTATGCACATTCAGAGAAAGAACTGAATGCAGAATTAAATATACTATTTTCACTTTATTTTTTCATGATTGTTTTTCATTTTGCAAACTGTAGTTATTTTGCAAACTGTTTCTTCTTTTACAACATGACTATTACAAAAATATTTTTTGTGTGATTGAACATACATAACCCATATCAAAGTGCTTACTGTCTTGGGGGGGCAGGCTAAGGAGGGAGGGAGAGAATTTGGAACTCAAGATTTTATAAAAAAAATGAATGTTAGAAAAGAATATTTTTTATTTCAAAATAGCCATTACTTTCTTTTACTCATTAAAACCCAACTCTCCAGTGTTTTAATTGGGATCAACTTCAAAATAATCCATTGACAAAATTCCACTTTAAAATAAATGTTGCATGAGGCAGGTAGGTGGTGCAGTGGATAGAGCACTGGCCCTGGAGTCAGGAGGACCTGAATTCAAATCCAGTCTCAGACCAGATACTTGACACTTATTAGCTGTGTGACCCTGGGCAAGTCCAATTGCATCACACACAAAAAATAAATGTTGGGAAAGTATAGATCATTCTTTAAATGGAATACTTATATTGCATTAGTACATCACTTTAATGAGAGCACTATTTTAGAATAATGACAGTTATTTTACAATTTCAGTGAATGTTAGTTTTCTTCTTACAAAGACAAATTCTGCCTAAGATGTAACAGAGTTTGATTAAATTTTTATGAACTGTAAAAAAAAAATTTACATTTATTTGTTTCTTTTTCTTTTAGTGGTCAAAGCCATATTGACAAAGAATCTTCTCTTCAACAACAATTCCATTTCAATGTTCCCATACTACCATAGTTTGGGTACTGCTTTATATGGAAAAACAAAACAACCAGTAAAGCTGCCAGAGCCCATAGCAATACCATTGGAGCCTTATCTATTGAAATTCTTACAGAAAGATAATAAAGTAATTGGAGAGATAACTAGCAGCATGGAGAGTGCTCACTGTCAGCTAACATGGCCCCAACCTAATTGTAAAGAGCCAGAAATTACACCCAGTGCAGCAATTACACTCAGTCCTTCAGTCACCTTAGTCAGCCAAAGAACAAAGAGCAACATAATCAAGACATGGAGTAAAGATGTCTCTGAGAAATTCTCTTGTCTTATGTCTAAATACCAGGTCACTAAGTATAGAGCGGACCGAGTGGCGTGGGAAGCCATCAAAGACAGCATAGAAAGTAAGAGCATTATGACTGAGTTTGATAAGTCTCAGGAGACAGTGATCATAGCAGGAAGACTGGAGGATATGCAAAGAACTGAACCACAAATGAGGACCCTGATAGAAAAGGCCACCCAAAAAATAGAAAGGGAAAAACAAAGCATAAGAGAGAACTTGACCATGTGTCCTAGACGGTTTTCCATTTTACACAACAACAGGTTAGAAGAGACTCTCCACAAGGAATACCCAGAGCTGGGAATCACTTACAATGCCCTCACAAAGAGCATTAGCCTGAGTGGATTGGCTGCAGATGTGTACAAAGCAAAGAGTGAAATTCTGGAGAAGCTGCAGAGCTTGGCTCAGAAATCCCTCCATGCTCCTCCTCAGATCATTCAGTTTCTGCAGCAGGTAAACTGTGAGACATTCTCTGAATCCCTTTTTGGAGCAGAGAAAATTCCTGCTGCTTATGAGATGGAGGGTGAAGCAGTTGTGCTGGTTGCCTCCTCTCCCCAAGTTCTTTCAAAAGCTGAGGAACACATGAAAAGAGTATTGGATTTTAAGTGTATCAATGTTGTAGACAGTGGGATTGTCAGTGATTGTCAGTGGAAAAAACTCGTTGACCATTTAAATCAGAAATACAACTGCTCTTCAAGGACCATAATAATAGAACAGCAAAATTCAGATACTGGTGTTCAGATAATCATTGCTGGTTATGTTAGTCCAGTATGTGAAAGCTACCAGGAACTTTATGAATTTATAGAAAAAAACACAAAAATACAGGAGTTGGTCACTGTTAACTCTCTAGCACATATCCAATATATGAAGGAGGGAAAAAAGCAAATCTGGAAAACACTAAAGGAAAAAAATGTGAAGTGTGATTTCAAAACTCCAGCCAACCAAAGGGGCATTTCACTGAGTGGTCCAAAAGGAGAAGTAGTAAGAGGAGTGGCCATGGTTAAACAAGCACTAGGTTCAATATATATTAGAAACTTTAGCATTGATATACCAGGGGCCAAAACTTTATTCAAAGATAGGGAAGAGTTTTATAAAATGGAAGCAAAAAGGAAATATCGTTGTACAATCTGGCTACAAGAAGATGAAGATGACAACAGTGGGGACAGTATTAATGGGAAGAAGGTCCACTGCAAGATAACCTTAGAATCTGGCATCTTATTAACTGTTCAGGAAGGTGACTTAACCCAGTTCTCAGCAGATGTGGTGGTGAATGCAGCAAATGAGGACCTAAAGCACTGTGGAGGCCTGGCAGCTGCGCTCTCTAAAGCAGCAGGCCCAGAGCTGCAGAGGAACTGTGACCAGATAATCCAGGAACGGGGTAAGATTACTCCTGGCCGTGCTGTTGTCTCAGCCCCTGGACAGCTCCCGTATAAGCAAGTGATTCATGCTGTTGGCCCCCAGTGGAAGCAAGAATATGCTCACACATGTGTGCAGTTACTAAAAAATGCTATCACAGAGTCTCTTTATCTGGCTAGACTTGGTGGCCACACTTCAATAGCTCTCCCAGGTTTTACCTCCAGGTACTTTGGCTTCCCCTTAAAAGACAGTGCAGAGACCATCATCCAATCCATCAAGGAAAACTTCCAGGACTCCCCAAATACACATAGCTTGAGAAAGATCCATCTTGTTGATTCATCTGTGGAGACAGTTCAGGCTCTTTCCAAAACTGCGAAGGCCATCTTCAAAGATGCATTACTTAGTAACAGTTCACTGTCCTGTACACCATTAGAAAACCAGAAAACCACCTTGAGAAGAAGTACTGAACATAGAAATGTATTGGACTCCATCCAAACTAGTGAAAGTCTGAGCATCCTCTTGATGAGAGGGGATGTTCAAGATGCAGAGGTGAGTATTACCATTTACCTAACACCACTGAAGGTTATTTCGAAATTTAAGTAGCATGATTCCAATGTAACTAGGTTCATATAAACTTTCAACATATGATCTCTGTAAGGTTAATGTAGATTTAGTCTAAGCTTAAAATTCTACTCCCTTGAGTGTGTAGAAGTTGAATATAAGTCAAATGACTTCCCCGGGGTCATATAGCTCATACCTGTCTAAGGCAGATTTGAACCTAGCTCTTCCTATCTACAATTTCAGTGCCCTATTCATTATGTTACACTGTCTCCATAAAGAATTTTTAGATGATCCAGCATCCATTCCTTTCCATTGTTACAACTAGCCAAGAGCTGACTTTACCTAGTTCTGTTGTTTTTAATTGTGTCCAACTCTTCATGACCACATCTGGAGTTTTCTTGTTAAAGACACTGGGGTGATTTGCCATTTTCTTCTCTAACTTATTTTACAGATGATGAAACTGAGGTAAATAGGGTGAAGTGACTTGCCCAGGGTCACACAGCTAGAATGTGTCTGAGGCCAGATTTGAACTCAGCAAGAGGAGTCTTCCTGATTCCAAACCAAGTGCTCTGCACCACTTAGCTGCCCAACTTTGTCTAGAAAGCCATCTATTCTAGAGAAGAAAACACTTTTAAAAAAAAAGTCTGGTCATTTTTTTTTGTTGTTGTTATTCCATTGACTCAGTCATATCCAACTCTTCTTCATTTCATTTGGGGTTTTCTTGGCAAAGATACTGGAGTCATTTGCCATTTCCTTCTCCAATTTATTTTACAAATTAGGAAACTTGAGGCAAACAGGGTTAAAAGTTTTTCCCATGCTCACACAGCTAGTGTCTGAGACTGGATATGAACTCTGATCTTCCTGACTCCAGGACCAGAGCTCTATCCACTGAGCCACTAGCTGCCCCAATCATATTTTTAATTTGTCTTAAAAGCATTTTTCTTTTTTTTAAGAACTTCACAAATAGAAATCAGCATAAATATATTGACATACAAAGAGGAACCAAAAAAACATTATATGTGAATCTATGAACTTCTATTATGTACAGTTTGGTTGGGTTTTCTTAAAGGTATATTACATTTAACACGATTGTAACAGAATTTCTCTACTTGTCTCTCTGTCCATCTGATCTTACTTCTGTATGTTTTCTAAATGTTTCATTGATGCTTTCTTCTTTCTTTTCTCCATATTCCATTTCTGCGTTACTATCCCTATCCACTACCTATCTCCAGCAATAATGGCTTCTGCTTTCTTCATTCTCCATCAGTTGATAAAAGTCTTCTCATGTTTTTCTTGAGGCACCCAAGCGCACAGTGGATAGAGCACTGCATCTGGAGTAAAAATGACCTGTGTTCAAATCGAGCCTCAAGCTCTTACCAGCTGTGTGGCCCTAAGCAAGACACCTAATTGCTATCTGCCTCAATTTCCTCATCTATAAAGTAGAGACAATAATAGTATCTGCTTCACAGGGTTATTATGAGGATCAAATTAAATAGTATTTGTAAATGCTTACATAAATGCTAAGTATTTTTAAAATGATTCCTCATTTTCATTGCTTCTCATAGGTCAATAATATCCTATTATATTCATTGAGTCCAAATTATTCAAATTAATTTCTAGTTTTTTGCTACCATGAAGAGTGCTGCTATGATTACTTTGTTTTACTTGGAACTTCTTTCTATCATTGACCTCCATGAGGTCTGAACCCAACATTGGTATTGCTAGATCAAAGAGTCTGAACAGTTTATTCAGTATGCCAGCATATTTGCAAATTGCTTTCCCATGTGATTTGGAAATTCATACCTCCACCTATTATCTTAACAGTATTCATAGCTTCTCACAGCTACTCTAACACTGACTGTTTTTTTTAAATCAACTTTGCTATGATGGGTATGAAATATATTTCTTACTATTAACACAATGGTGCTTTTCTCATGTGGTTTTTCAATATTTGAATTTTTCTTTTGAACATCTCTGTGTTGAGGATTAGCTTTTGTTCTTATATATTTTCATCATTTTCCAAATATTTTCTTCCCTAATTCCCATCATTTAATGAGAGGTCCAGACTGTACATTCTGTGGATATATCTATATCTATATCTATATTTTTTTCTAGATGCATCTACATCTTCCTATAGATGAAAATAGTTTTGTCATTTGATATATTCTTTCTAATCTGAAAATTCAAGACTGAAGGAAGAGTCCCACTGAGAATTTTGAATATACTACAGGGAAAAGAATACTTGGGAAGATTACTTTGCTCTGTCCTCACATTTGCAGTATCCCACTCAGTCACAAATTTATTTGCAGAAAGGGATCAATAAGTATTTATCAAATAGATGGATGAATGACACATCTGTTAAAAAATAGAAACAGAGGATCTTAACAATCAGCAGAATGAATGATTTGTTTTTGAGTAATTCATAGTTGGTCATATAACAAAAAATGTATAGTATAAGGTTTTCCATATCTCAACTTTCCTTACTAACTCTTTGCCTTAATTAACTCCTCTTCAATTAACCCAATTTTGGAAGTTTGGGAATTAACTTTGACTTTTCCTTCTGAAATCTAATTAATCAATAGGTCTAATTGATTCTTCTTTCAACATTCATCACTACCTTTGCATTTCTACTGCTATTACATGAGATCAGGACATTAATATTCCATGTCTTGATTATTTCAATAGTTAATTTTTTGGGGGGGAACAGGGCAATCAGGATTAAGTGACTTGCCCAGGGTCACACAGCTAGTAAATGTCAGGTGTCTGAGGCTGAATTTGAACTGAGGTCCTCCTGACTTCAGGGCTGGTGCTCTATCTGCTTCACCACCTAGCTGCCCCTAGTGCAATAGTTTCTTAACACCACCATTTTACAAAGAAGAAAATTGAGGTCTAGAAAAGTTAAGTGATTTGTCCAAGGTTATGTAAATAGTGAATAAAGAAAGACAGGACTTCAACCCAAGCCGTTCACCTACAAATATATTGCTCTTGCCCTTTCCTTTTGTATTCATCTCTTCAACAAGTGCTTCTCTTTCAAGATCCAGCTCAAATCCTACATCCTTTATACAGCTGCCTCTGATTATCCAGTCTGAAATGATGGAATGGGTTGAAAAAGCATTTATTAAAGCACTATGCGCAAAGCATGATGTTAAGTTTTGTAATACAAATGGAAAATCAAGACAGTCTCTGCTCTCAATGAATTAACAATCTAATTGGGGGAGAAAACAAATAAAAGAGGGTTCATATTAGGTGAGTATTGTGCTATTTGGTTCATAGCAGATTGAAAAGCCAGGTGGCTTTAGGTAGGAAAAGCAGTGGGTTGGGTGGCAAGACCCAGAGGACCTCAGGGAGTTATAGTAGAATAGATGGTCCCCTTCCAAGAAGACAGTGGATCCAAAGGTTAGAGTGGAATTGGGCTCTGTATTACATTCAGCAGAGATAAGGACATGAGAATCAGCATACAGATGACAGTGGACAGGGGACAGGGGAGGTAAAGCTAGGTGGCTCAGTAGTAGGTGCCCTGGGATGAAGTTAGGAAGAACTGAATTCAAATCTGGCTTCAGACAGTTACTACTTCTGTGATGCTGGGCAGGTTACTTAACCCTTGCCTGCCTCAGTCAGTCCATAAACAGTTATCTGTGCCAGGTTGGAAAAGGTTTCCTGCAGAACATGAGATGCCTCAGTGTCTTTAACCATCAAATGGGGGTAATAATAGCATCTGCCTCCCAAGGTTCTTGTGAAGATTAAGAGAAATAATATTTGTAAGTCACTTAGCAGAGTGCCTGCCACATAATAGGTGCTTAATAAATGCTTGTTCCTTTCTTTCTTCACTTCTCCTTGCTACTATGGTGTCTGGTGGAAGCGGCTATTGCTTATCTGTGTACTATAGCAATTACTACTTGAATAATTATTAAGCAATTAATTTTATTCTGTTCTATCTTTACTTAAATGTTGTCTTCAACTTCTCTGTAAATAGTTTATGTTATTTAACTTTTTACATGTAAGGCCTAACTCCCCACCTGGATTGTAAGCTTTTTGAACGTAGGAACTGTGTCTTAGACATCTGCAACTTTCACATTGCTTTGCACATGAAGATTTATTGATGTGATTTTTGTTTTTAACAAGTTCTTTTTTTATTTTAGACTGATATTATTGTAAATTCCATTCCTTTCGATCTTCATCTCCACAATGGACCACTTTCTCGGGCCTTATTGAGGAAAGCTGGCCCAGAACTCCAGGAAGAATTAAATACTTTTGGAAAAATATCAGTGAAAACAGGCCATGTTCTCCGGACAAGAGGCTATAATTTGGGCTGCAGATTTGTGCTCCATGTGGTGGCTCCTACCTGGGATGGTGGAGCAGGGAATTCACAAAAGGTAGAGAAATGTTAAAGTTCTCATTCAACAAGCATTTATTAAGCACCAATTGTATGCCAGGCACTGTGCTGGATCCTGAGGATACAACAACAAAAAATTAGACAGTCCTTGCCCTCATGAGCTTACATTCTGTCAGGAGGAAAAGCATGTGTATGTGTAAGTAAACACAAAATATATAGAAAGTAAATATAGGGGCAGCTAGGTGGTGCAATGGATAGAGCACTGGCCCTGAAGTCAGGAGGACCTGAGTTCAAATCCAGCTTCAAACCAAACACTTGACACTCACTAGCTGTGTGACCCTGGGCAAGTCACTTAACCCCAATTGCTTTTAAAAAAAAAAAGAAAGTAAATACAAAGTAATTTGGAGAGGAAGGGACACTAGAAGTGAGGGTTCAAGAATATCTCACATTCTCTCACACTCTTGAGCTGAGGTTTGAAGGGAGCTAAAGATCCTTTGAATTAGAGATAGGCTAAGGGTCTGCTCCAGACATGAAGGAACAACCTGGGCAAAGTCATGAAAGTTGGAGATATTATCATCCTTCACAAGAAAAAGACAATAGTCTGGTTTGGCTAGAATTTAGAATACATGAAAGGGAGTCATATGCAATGAGTCTGGACAGATAGGTTACAGTTGGATTATGAACAGCTTTCAATGAAAGTAGAGGAGTTGGCAGCGAGGTGGTGCCGTGGATACAGAATGCCAGGCCTGGAGTCAGGAAGCCCAGAGTTCTACTCCGGTCCTTGACACCGACTAGCTGGACAAGTCATTTGACCTTTACCTGTCTCAGTTCCCTCAACTCTAAAATAATGATTAATAACAGCCTGGCACAAAATAAGCACTATATAAATGTTAATTGCTGCTGCTGTTGTTGTTGTTATCCTAGAGGCAGTAGGGAGTATCTCCAGTCCACTTAGAGGCCGTACAGAATTTGTATCAGCATAATCATGCCTTAAATGTGTCTTTGAAATTCAAACTACCAATCACAGGAGAGTCCATCATTGTTGCATTTATATCAGTGGAATTTCTACAGCTTGATCAATAACATTAAAGAGCATAAAGTCATAAGCCATTATTAGTAATAGCAGTATCAGTTGGTATTAATGATGCTGGTGGTCATATTTCATTAAGGCAAGGAGGGCACATGAGCTATGAGGAAAATGGCACAGTCAGTGACATTGTAGTTATACATGTTTTGGGAGTTTTAATTTATTCCCACCTTTGTACCTTTTTCCCTTCCAAAAAAATTGGAATTCTCTGGAGGGTACTTTGTACTTTCCTCAATTACTCTGTTTATTTTCTTTATTTTTTAACACTATTTGCATATATTTAAAACTGTGCATTTCAATAAATAAAATCTTTTGAACACACACGCACACATCACTCTGATTAACTGCCTTTGATAGTTTGCCAGGACCTTGGTACAGATTCAAACTTAATTTTCATGACTAGATTTATTTTGGTCCCACTCAGTTTCTTCTTTCACCAACATGAAATCTCTTTTCATGCCTTCTAGACCAAAATTAATGAGATAGGTAGATGGAAAGGCAGCACATTGTGGCTTCATTCAGGGTCAGTGGTTTTGTGCTTTTTTGCTTTTTTTCCTGTTGATGTGAGACAGGCAGCACCATTACTACCTCTCATTGTTACATTAGTTGAAGTAGTGATCTCAGAAGATAGTGTGTGTAAGATGTACCCTTTATCTAGATAGGACACATTTCTAAAGTTCAACTATTTCTTCTGAAGATTGTCAGTTTTTCTCTTGTATTTTTGTCTTCTGTTTAGACTTGTTGGATTTGTGAATCTCAGTCACATATGGTTTGTCAGATATTTTTGCCAATTAAGCAGTAGTGGTTGGGACTCACCAGTCAGTCCTCTGAGGTGGCTGCTATGAACCATTCTTTCTTCCTTTTGCCTTCTAATTCCCTTGCTTCTTCACAAAATCAGTTAGAAAACCAGTTAGTCACAGTTATCAAAAGTTGTATTTCTTTCTTCTTCCTCTTAGCACTAGCTATTACATGTGTCATTCTAAATCACACACACAATTCTAGAGATCAATGGACAACTGAGCACCCCTGCAGCCACGGGAGCACCCCTATTCCTCCTTTTGCAGCATTCTCCATTTCTCATGCTAGCCTCTGATTTACATGAAAATATTTGCTATTTTTCAGATCATGGAAGATATTATCACAGAATGCCTGGAAACCACTGCCTCCCTGTCTTTCACATCAATCACATTTCCAGCAATTGGAACAGGAAATTTGAGATTTCCAAAAAACATTTTTGCAAAATTAATCCTTTCCCAGGTGTTAAAATTCAGTAGTTCTGGACCTTTGAAGAATCTGAAAGAAGTGTGCTTTCTGTTGCATCCCAGTGATACTGACAACATTCAGGTAATAATGGAATTTTCTTGGAATTAAGTTGCCAAAATGGTTTTAAATCTATCCTTCTAGCAAAATTAAAAATGTATTTTCAACCTATTGCTCTATATGCTCTTTTTACTTGAAAGGAAGTTTATATTTGAGAGATGGTATTTATAAGGTATATGGATAAAAATATATTTAATATATGTGTGTGAATATGTATATGTTAATATGTGGAGAGACAGAGAAATTTATGAAAACACTACCTCATAACTGCTTCAGGATTGAAAGGTATTTTGAATGTTTTATATATATATATTTATATATATATATACATATATAATACACATTACTATATATCACATAAATACATGTGTATACACATATATATACATACATTCATACCTGTGTATATATGTATTTATACATGTGCATACACACAACTGCTTTGAAAATACTGCCTATCAAATAATCTTCCTTCAGAACAGGAAGAGAAATTTCATTCAGAATAACTATAGAGTATGTGAAATATTTGATAGTCTACCTACTAAGACATACTGAGGAACTATATTAATAAGGTATAAAATATTCTTTAGAGAAATAGAGACATGCCTAAGTAATTGGAGAAATATTAATTATCTGTGAGTAGGTTGGGCCAATATAACAAAAATGAGAGTACTCCTTAAATTAATTTACTTGATCAGTGCTACACCAAGCAGACTATAAAAGGATTAGTTTATAGAGTTTGAAAAAATAACAAAATTCATTTCAAAGAACATAATGAAAAAAATTGAAGGCTAGAGGCCTAGCAGCATCAAAATTCATACTAGGCTATAAAGCAGTAATCACCAAAACTGTTTGGTACTGGCTAAAAAAAATCAGAGCAGCTAAGTGGTGCAGTGGATAGAGCACTGGGCTTGGAATCAGGAAGATTTCGCTTCCTGAGTCCAAATCTGACCTCGAAAACTTACTAGCCATATGACCCTGGGAAAGTCACTTAACCCTGTTAAGTGTTAGTTCCTCATCTGTAAAATGAACTGGAGAAGGAAATGGCAAACCACCCTAGTATCTTTGCCAAGAAAACCCCAAATGGGATCACAAAGAGATGGACATGATTGAAACAACAACCAAAAAAAAAAAAGAGAGGTTGACCAGTAGAACAGATGAGGTATGCAATATACAGAAACAGACAAATATAGTAACCATATGTTCAACAAACCAACAAACCAAAAGGTTTTAACTACTAGGGTTAGGTTTCACTACTTGACAAAAATTGCTAAGACTATTAGAAAACAAACTGGTAAAAATCAGGTTAAGACCTACACCTCACATCCTACTCAAAAAAAAACTTCTAAATTGATATATGACAGATATAAAAGGTACATCATAAATAAATTAGAGGAACAACGAATATAATACTTTTCACAACTATAGAGGAAAAGTTAAGACCAAAGAAGAAAGAATGGACATATTTGATTACATAAAATTAAAATTTTTTTGTACAATTAGAGCCAATACTAGTTAAAATTTAAAAATGAAACAGGTGAGTAGGGGAAAATCCTTTCAAGTTTCTTGGATGAAAGTATCATATCCAAGCTATATGAGTAAAGTATACAAATACATAAGAATATAATGGTTAAATGGTCAAAGTATTTGAACAGGCAATTCTGAAAGAATTTTCTGAAAGAAAGAAATCTGGACTATCAACAGCCATATAAAAATGCTCCAAGTTTTCCTTAAAGATTTCTTTATGGGGGCAGCTGGGTGGCACAGTGGATAGAGCACCAGCCCTGGAGTCAGGAGGACCTGAGTTCAAATCCAACCTCATACCAAACACTTGACACTTACTAGTTGTGTGACCCATGGCAAGTCACTTAACACCAATCACCTAAAAAAAAAAAGATTTCTTTGTAATTTCAATTATATGATCATAGATTTAGAGCTAGAAGAGACATTGGAGGTCATCTAGTCCAACTCCCCATTTTGTAAGTTAGGAATTTGAGGCCCAGAGATGCTGAGTGGCTCGTCCAAGGCCACACAGGAAGTAAGCCAAAAAGCCACAAATCTAGGTCTTCTGACTCCAAATGCAGCATACTTTGGAATAAGATCCTGGCTCTGCTGTTTAACTACTAGCATCCTTTAGGATTTTTATATGACCTTTTAGGAACGGAATTTTTACTGGGAATATGCCATTTTAATCACCAGCCATAGAAGAAATATGTCCTTATTTTCTTGCTGCCTATGTTTCTCTAAAAAATCTGATTAATATTTATACTGAGAATTGTCACACTCAGTAGCTGCCTTTCTTTTTCCAGGCATTTAAAAGAGAATTCACTAAATATACTGATGGAAATACTACCAGTGCCAGAGTTTCCAACACCAGTGATACACAAGGTCTAGTAAAGTTATTTTCTTAAAAATTGTTTACCATTGTTTACTAATAATTTAGTGATAGTCAAAATCCAGACAAATATAATGGTTTACATGAAAAATAGAGAAGATATAAAACCATGTGTAATATTTCTAATCATGTAAAATGCTAGATATGTAGATAATGTAGATAGATAAAGCATTTATAAATCAAGTGCTTATTGTGTGCCAGGCTCTGTACTAAATGCTAGTCATTTTTATCAGTCAAGAGTCAGATCTGTTCTGAGGTCATTTTGTTGAGTGATATAGGATGAGACCAATATTTTTCTCAAACTGGTCGAAATCACTTCCATGTAGACTAACTTAGACTCGATCAGCTAGATGTTTCTAGCTCATCCAATTTGGTTATGCAATTAATGTTACATATGACCCATATGCTATTTTTAAAATATCTTTCACCCAATAGAGCAGCTTTTACACCTAGATAATTAGAGAATTTGGAAAAGTAAAGCAGACAGACTACCTAAAAGGGAAGAGGGAAGAATAAGAGAGAGGCATACAACAAAACCTGATAATAGTAGTCACAAAATTATATTTGGTCCTTGATTTCTTTTTTTTTTCCTCTTTAGATCCCTTTGGGACTATTTCTAGCCCTGAATTGGGAGTATATCAAATCAGGATTGGATCTATTACCTTCCAGGTTGCTTCTGGGGACATCACTAAGGAAGAGACTGATGTTATTGTAAATTCAACAGACAAGACATTTGTCCTCAAAAAAGGTATTTTGTTTGAATAATTTACACTAATACAATGGTTAACATAATTATAATGTTGTGATGTACCATGAAACTATTGTAGTCATGTAGCGTAATGAAGGACTGGCACATACTAGTAGTATCTATGACTGGGCACAAGGATCCGGACTCCTGAACATAGTCCCTCTAAGATCAGAGCAACATACATAGTTAGATCTCTGCAGTTCTGCATTTGCCTTGCTTCTCTCTGGTGGAATATTAGCTCCTTGAGGGCAGGAACTATTTGCTTCTTCTTTTTCAAAAATAATTGTTTTATTGTATCTTTGGTTTTTGCATCACTGACATGTTCTCCTGTAGTCTTCCCTTTACCTTCTCTGACAGAAACCTCTCTATAATAAAGAATTTTTTTAAGTGGAAAAGAGTTTAGCAAAACTAATTAATAATATTAGAAAAAGTCTGACATTATATGCAGTATTCCAAACCTATGCCCCCCCCCACCTCTGTAAAGACAGGAGGATAGATATCATCTCATATCCATTCCTTCGGGTCAAGATTGGTCATTATAATTTTGCAGCACACAGTTTTGATTATTTTGTTGTTATTGTTGTCTTTTCTATTTACATTGTTATAGTCATTATGTATATTATTTCCCTGGTTCTGCTTACTTCACTTTGTGTCAGTTTGTATCTTTCCATGCTTCTCTGTGCTTTTCATATTAATAGTTTCTTATAGCACAGTAATATTCCATTACATTAATGTACCACAGCTTGTTTAGCCATCCTCCAATCAATGGGCATGTACTTTATTTCTGGCTCTCTGCTGCCACAAAAAGTGCTGGAAGAAATATTTTCACGTATATGCAACTTTTCTTTTTGTCCCTGACTCCCTTGGGATGTATGTCTAGCAATGAAATCTTTGGGTCAAAGGATGTAGAAATTTTTTCTAAGGCAGTTCAAATAGATCAAAGAGAGATAATTTAAGAATTATGGGCCTGCCTGAAAGCCATGCACATAGAAAAAGAGCCTTAACATAATATTTCATGAACTTTTAAAGGAAAAATAACCAGCTGTCTTGAAGCAGAGGGCAAAGTAGAAATTGAAAAAAAATCCACTTATCCTAAAAGAAGTTGCAAAATGAAACTCCCATGTATGTTATAGCCAACATCCAGATTTCCCAGGTCAAGGAGAAAATATTGCAAGTATCCAGAAAGAAAAAAAAATCAAAATACAGTGGAGTCAAAGTCAGTATCACACAAGATTTAGCAGCTACCACTATAAAATACTGGAGGGCTTGGAATATGATTTTCTGGAAGCCAAAGGAGCTAAGATTACAACCAAGAATAACCCACCTAGGAAAACTGAGTATATAACCCTACAGGAGGGGAAATAAATACTTAATGAACTAGAGAAATTATTGAATTCAATAAACATTTGTTAATTAAAATCATGGAAGTATTTTTTTAAAAAGAATATAAGCTTCTTGAAGACAGAGATCATTTCAATTTTCTTTTTACATTCCAAGCTTACTATAGTACTTGACATGTAATAGGCGGTTAATAAATTTTTTTTCATTCATTCAGAGGCCCAGTGTACTAAATCTTTTTGGATCTTTACTCTCATTTACTGTGTTACCAATATTTTCTATGTTTATGTTACCTGAATATTTTGGGGGGTTCTTTGTAGAACCTATTTACCTGCTCATCCTCTACAATAGATGTTGGACCATAAACTTCAATTATTTCAATAACGATTCTCTTTGAAAAGGGTTACTTTGTGCACTGCAATGTGAAATGACCGAGAGTTTCATGAAATGATTTTTATTCTTGCTTTTGACTGCATGACAAAACCATCCCTTGTTTGTGTCTCCCAAGTGGAACCCGTGAGCTATCTCTGTTTAGCTGCAATTTCCCTTTATCTTCTGGTTTCATTTATTTTAAAAAAAAATTGTGAAAATTGTTCAGATCTGATTTTTTGAGTGGTGTGACCTCTCCGTGGTCGCTAAGCAAGGATCTCACATTTAGAGGATTCAATGCCAAGTTAATGTTTGTAGGAGGCCCAAAAATTGTGCAATTCTAAGCACCCTTTATCCATGTTCTGTCACATCATTTCAGAAGCCAAAGATAGTCACATGGAAGCAAAGGCCATTCTGTAGTTTTCTTGGTTTTATGGGTTGCCGTGACTTAAGGATTCATCACCAAATGGCCACTTTCCTGGTTATGTGTTCTTTCATACTTAACTACATATGGGTTGTGGTCAGGTTGTATTCAAAGCCTTTCCAATATGGTGGATCCTGAAACTGCCAGTACTTCTTCACTGGAATTCTCATTCAAGAACTCAGGATTACCTCTACATCATGATGAGGCATTGGAGCATGACTTTGTGAAGGCTATTTCAGGAACTTTACATGTAGCTATGATTAAATGACTATATTGAATTTTGAATCAGAAAGATCCCTGGACTTGGTCACTTCCTAACTGTATCATTTGAGGTGACTCACTTCCCCTTTCTGGGCCTCAGTTTCTTCATATGTAATTTTAAGGGAGTATGAACCAAAGAGATTAAAGAAAGAACAAAAGAAATCTCTGTGTGTATGCATGTGTGTGTGTGAGAGAGAGACAGAGAGAGAGAGAGTGAGAGAGAGAGAGAAAGAGAGAGAGAGAGAGAAACTCTTTTTGTTGTGACAAGGAAATTAAAGATATGGGCATGTCCATCTGTTGAGAAGGACTAAACAGATGTGGTATAAGAATGTAATGGAATACTATTGGGACTTAAGTAACAATGGAAGTGGTGGAGATTTGTATGAACTGATGCAGAATCAAATGAGTAGAACCAAAACAATAATTTCCTCAAAAACAACAATGAAATAACAAACACATTTTAAAGGCTTATGAATTCTGGTCAAACTAATGCACTTTTGGTGGCATTGTGAACTAATCCAACAATTCTGGAGAGCAATTTGGAACTATGCTGAAAGGGCTATAAAACTTCGCATACTCTTTGACCCATCAATACCACTACTATGTCTCTGTCCCAAAGAGATGTTTTTAAAAAAAAGGAACAGTACCTATGTGTAAAAAAATATAACAGTTCATTTTGTGGTGGCAAAGAACTGTAAATTGAGGGGATGTCCATCAATTGGGGAATGGCTGAACAAATTGTGGTATATGATTGTGATAGAATACTGTTGTGCCATAAAAAATGATGAGAAGGATGCTTTGAAAACAACCTGGAAAAGACTCATGAGAACTGATGAAAAGTGAAGTAGAACCAGGAAAACATTGTACACAACAGCAATATTGTATAATGAACAACTATGAATGACTTAGCTATCTCAGTAATACAAAAATCTTAGACAATTCCAAAGGACTTACGATGAAAAATGCAATCCATCTCCAGAGAAAGAACTAATGGTGTCTAAATGTAGATAAAAACACACTTTTAAATTTTTTATTGTTTTTTTTCTTTTGGTCTGTTTCTTCTTTGACAACATGACTACTGTAGAAATGTTTTGTATGACTGCACATGTATAACCTATATCAAATTGCTTGTATTCTCAATGAGGGGATAGGGGAAGAAGGGAAGAAGTTAATTTGGAACTCAAAATTAAAAAAAAAACAAATATTAAAAATTGCTTTTAAATGTAATTTGGAAATTTTTCTTAAAGAATTCTGGTCAAAGCTATGATCAACCATGATTCCATGGAACTGATAAGGAAGCATGCTACCCACTTACTGACAGAGAGGTCTCAAGATGCAGAATGAGACATAAATTTTTAGCCATGTCCAATGTGTAAATTTGTTTTGTTTGACTTTGCATTTTTGTTATAAGTGTTTTGTTTTTCTTTTCTTTTGGATGGGATTGGTGGAAGGGAGAGAAAATAAGTGCTTATTGGGGCAGCCAGGTAACTCAGTGGATAGAGTTCCAGCCGTGGAGTCAGAGGACCTGAGTTGAAATCCAGCCTTAGACACTTGACACTTACTAGCTGTGTGACTCTAGGCAAGTCACTTAACCCCAATTGCCTCACCAAAAAAGAAAAAAAGAGAAAATAAAATAAGTGCTTATTAATTGAAAAAAAGAATTGAGGTAAAAATAAATAAACAAAATTAAGACAGTGTAATGGATAATCTCTGCAGTACTTTCCAGCTCTGACATTATGTGATTCTTTAATTCATGTTCATCTCTATTATTATTCTCTTATCTAGGGGTTTCCAAAGCCATTTTAGAAGCTGCTGGACCAGCTGTGGAATCAGAGTGTGCCACACTAGGTATGGTATTCATGCTTCTGTTTTAGCCATAATCCAGTGCAAGTGAAATAACTGGTAAGATGGAGGGGATGTGGATAGGATAGAAGCAAGTCAGAAACTGTTTAAGAACTGGTGTTCCATGGGAGAGGGACCCTAAAGGTGAGATTATAATAATTTTCCTTCAAAATTTGAGCTAATCCCATGCAAGGCTACAGTAAGCAACAACCACATACGATATGATTTGAAGCAACCACAAGGCTCCCTCTGTCTCCCATCTTCCCTACCAACATATCACAATATCTAAAACTTTCACCATTACAGGCTCTTCTTGAGAGTTAAGACATTATCTTGACAGGTTGTCACCTGGAAAGACATCAAACATCACAATATTCTTAGAGACTACACCAATATAAATATTTAAGTCAATATGAAAAAGCAAGAAAAATCTTGTCAATTCCAATTGTCCATGTAGGTACCATAATATCAAAATTAAATAACACAACTTTCTTTTCTGTTAACAAATCAACAAACTTAACTGGTCCAGGGGTTAAGGTGCATTTAAGGGGATGTGTTTAGGTGTTTGTTGAGAAGTATAGCATAAAAAGTACAAACTAATTTTTTTAGGGTAAGCATGAAAGCCTACTTCAAATGATCCTAGGAGATATGTATAGTAACCAGATTACTTAGAGCTCTGCCACACCTCTCCCCATGTAGCCTCACATGCTTTAGATTTTGTCTCTTCAATATTGAGAAGAACAGACTTAAGGGGGTGATTTGGCATGGTCATTGTCTTCAAGTATTTGAAGTCTTCTTATATGGAAGAGGGATGTGACATTCCATACACTTCCAGAGGGAAAAACTTGGACCAAGGAGAAGAAGTTCACATCATTAGATTGTGAGCTCCTTGAGGGTAAGGACTGTGTTGCTGGATCCATTTCACTGTATACAGTTTATTGACCATGACTAAGACTATAGGATCATAGATTTAGAGATAGAATAAATGTCAGTAGTCATCTAGTCCAACTCCTCCATTCTAACAGATAAATAAACCGAGACTCAGAAAGGTTAAATGACTTGCCCAAGGTTGCACAGGTAATGGCATAACCAGTAATTGAGGCCAACTCTTCTGACCCTACAGTCATTGTTTTTTCCCACTGTGCCACAATATAGTTGCTAGAGATTTAGAGGAGATGAATTGATCATAAAATTATGGACTTAGAGCTGGAAAGGACCTTAGAGACCATCTAGTCCATCTCCTCTCGTTTCCAGATGATTAACTTGAAGCCTAGAGAAGTTAAATGATTTGCCAAAGTCCCACAGGTGATAAGTACCAGAAGGGGGATTTGACCCTAGATCCCCTGACTCCAGAGGGAGCACTCCTTCCAGTATACCATATTACAGTTGGTCAAAAAAAAAGAGAAATGGGTTACTTTATAAGTTGGTTGGCTTTCTATCATTAGAGATGTTTAAGTAGAGGGTGGATAATTATGTCAGTGATGCTTTGGAAAGCATTTATGCATGGGACAAGATTGCATTATATGACCCTTAAGGTGCCTTTCATCATTGAGATTCAGTAATAATTTTAGACAATAAAAGGAGCTATGTAAACTGGGACTGTTGTTTTCATGTCCTCTTTTACCTAAATAAAGTATCCTATATTCTCAATTATACAAAAGTTTCAGTTTGACTCATGTTTCATGCCTTTGTCTTCTTCCATTCTCTAGCTGGGAATCATCACAGAAATTTTATAGTAACACAAGGTGGAAATCTAAGGTGCAAGAAAATAATTCATGTTACTGGGGGAAATGATGTCAAGCAAACCATCTCTCAAGTCCTACAGGAATGTGAACAGATGAAATACGTGTCCGTTTCCCTCCCAGCCATAGGAACAGGTTTGTAGCCTCCTATCAGAATTAGCTTTTTTTAAATACTGAGTATCCTCTAGACTACATATCCACTAGTAAAGATAATTATTAAGGCTGAATCTATGTGAGAGTGATAGCAATGGTGTTAGTCTATTTTAGGTCTTGGCAATGTTGTTTTTTTTTTTAACTCTTTTACTATAGTGCTCGTGGGTACTGTTGGGTTTTGCCTCTATTCATAAGCTATGGATAAACAAAAGAAAAGGAGAGAAAGATAAATTGGTAAAGAGCAAAACTAAAAGACAGAAGATGAAGGTGGGAAAGAGAGACAGAAAAAGTGGAAAGAAAATAAATTGATCCATTTCTCAGCCTCTTTTACTGGCTCTTCTTTTGCCTCTTATCATTTTCTGTCTTTTCTCCAAGGTTTAACTTCTTGGCTTCCTTCTCTTCCCTCTTTCTCTCTCACATCTTTGCCCTTTAGGAGAATTCACTCATTCATTCTCATGTTTTCAACTTCTACCTCCATGCAGACAACTTCTTAATCAGCAGCTCCTTCACCCCCTAGTCTAATCTCTTCTTTATCAGACAATTCCATTTGGTGCCACCTAAAACTTTTCAGGTCAAAATACTGAACTTATCATTGAGTCATAGACTTTTTATAGCCATAAGAGATTATGTAATTCTAGGCTGATCTCCTGGTTTTCAGTTGAGACATAAAGAAGATAAGCAACTTGCCTGAGGTCAATTAATAATAATAATAATAATATTCAACTCCTCAGATTCAGCTCTTCTTTTCAATTACCACCATGGCCATCACCCCAATCCCTCATCACCTCATATATGGATTACTATAGCAGTCTTTTATTCGAGGGGGGGGTTAGGCAATTAGGGTTAAGTGACTTGCCCAGGGTCACACAGCTAGCAAGTGTCAAGTGTTTGGTCTGAGGCCAGATTTGAACTCAGGTCCTCCTGACTTCAGGGCTGGTGCTCCATCCACTGTGCCACCTAGCTACTCCTGCAGTAGTCTTTTAGATGATCTTCTTTTCTTCCTTTACTTTTTCCTATGTATAGATCTAAGATAATCTTTATTGTTTTGAAAAAGATGTTGATAACAAAGATAATAATGATTTTGCATTTAATCTTTTTTTAAAAATTGAAAGTTTATTTCCTATATATTGAACACTTTCCCAATGTACACACAAACAATCCCACTAACAAAGTACATTCCTAGAAAATTAGTTTATCAGTTGTTACCAAGAAGTAAGAGTATGACAATATAGTACTAAGATTGACTTTATAATTGAGCAGAGTTTTGTGGGCTGTCCTTGTTGACTTTATTTACTTTTTAATTGGCACAGTGTATCTTGTTCTTTAGGGTCAGTTAGCTTTCCTTTGTCTCATTTCATACAAGTCTTCCTCTCTGGTAATAATAAATCAACTGCTCGTGGGAAGGCCAAGTATTTTGGAGTTGATTTGTTTATAAAAATCTATGATTTTTATACATTTATTTATATAAGTCTTATAGGATAAATTTGGTGGATCAAACAGTTAAACTTTCCATCATCCTCTACTTTCAAATCCCTTGCTCTCTTGTCCTGGTAACACTCGTGCCTTGTCATGAATCACTCCACCCTGAATCACTGCCATCATCTGCCTCCTTCTTTCCTCCTTACTTGCTTTTGAGAAGGAGCCTTTCACACAATTGTGCTCACCAGGTCTGTTGCAAATTTGTGGTATCCAATCTCAATGGGGACTTTGAGGGAGGAAGGTAGTCTTTTTATTCCTCTTTAAAAGATTCTCTTTCCCACTCATCACAGCAGCTATTCCAGAGCCTCTCTCTGCTCTTTAGGTCTCTCATTGCAGCCTTTCACTCTGCCTCTGAGCTGAGGATCTCTCCTACTTTACAGAGAGAATTGAGGCCAATTGCTAAGAACTCCCTCTTTTACTCTGCTCTTCCTCTGACGACTTTTTGACTTCATCTCCCACTGTTTCCTTCTTTGCTCAGTCTCAGATAAAAAGGTGACCTGTATTCCTCAAATAATAAATGGTCAGAGGAAATGAGACATTCCACTCAGTTGTCAAAGTGATATTAAAGCCCTTCATAACCTGCCCCCCTTATCTTTCCAGTCTTCTTACACCTCACACCCCACCATGAACTCTAGGATCCAATGACATTGGAATCCTAGCTGTTAATTGAACAAGACAAGCCATCTCTAGACTCCAGGCATTTTCACAGACTGGCTCCCATGCCTGGAATGCTGTCACTCCTCATCTCTACTGCCTGGCTTCCCTCACTTCCTTCAAGTCGCAGCTAAAATCTCATCTTCTAAAAAAAAGCATTTCCTAATCCCTCTTAATTCTTAGTTCCTTATGCCTGTTATTATTTCAAATTTATTCTGTATATTGTTTATTTGAGTATGGTTGTTTGCATGTTATCTCCTCCATTAGATTGTGTGATCTTTGAGAACAGAGACTATCTTTGCCTCTTTTCATTTCTTTCTCTCTTTTTTTTTTTTTGGAAGCAATTGGTATTAAGTGACTTGCCCAGGGTCACACTGACTCGCTGCACCGCCTTACCTTTTTTCATATACCCAGTATTTAGCACAATGCCTGGCACATAGTAGGTGATTAATAAGTGCTTATTGACTGACTGACTTCCTCCTCTCTATCAGTGCCTAGGATGGTATTGACTTTTTGGTTTTGTTTTGCTCCCATAACATCCTGTTCCTTTGTATTGAGAGTGTAGTCCATCAAAACCAGATACATATGAAATGCTGTATTGCTATAGCTCCCCCATCCTATACTATGGATTTTGTAAAATGCAAATGTAGAAATCTACAGTTATCTTATTGATCCTAGCTGTATAGCATCTCTGACATTTCTTCCCTTCTCTCTCCTCATAATCATCACCCAAAGTCTGGTCCTCATCACTTCTCACCTGAACTATCACACGAGTTTTCAAAGTGATCTTCCCATATCCAGCCTCTCCTCTCTTCAATCCATCTTCCACACAGCTGACCAATTGAGATTTCTAAATATCGTGATCTATGACAACAATCACAGGACCATTTTGTCTCCCTGCTCAAAAAATCTTAGTGGTTCTCTATTAACTCTAGGATAAAATACAAATCCTTTTGTTTGGCATTTAAAGTCCTTTGCATTCTACCTTCAGGCTATCTTTCTAAAATGATTTACTCTTCATACATTCTATGTTAATGTAACCTACTTGCTGGTTCCCACACATTAACAATCTCTCCTCCACACCCTTTTATAGACTCTTGTCATGTCTGGAATTCTCTCCCCTCCCTCCTCAGCTTTGCCTTTTAGTATCCCTAGCTTTGATTAAGTCTCAGTTCAAGTGATATAGTCTACCCAAGACCTTACCTAGTCCCTCCCAGCTTTAGTACTCTCTCTCCACATCAATCACAGCTAGGTGGCCCAAGGGATAGAACTCTGGGCTTGGAATCATGAAGACTTGAGTTCAAATCCCACCTCAGTCTTTGTCTGCCTCAGTTTCCTCATCTATAAAATGAAGATGATAATAGCACCTACTTCCCAGAGCTGCTGAGAGGTTAAAATTAAATAATATTTGCAAAGTACATTATAAATCTCAAAGTGCTATATAAATGCTACCTACTATTGTTATTTGCTTTATGTATATTTTATATTTATGTATCTATGTACTTGGTATTTTCCTAAATAGCATAGAAACTCCTTGAAGATGAATACTGTTTCATTTTGAAATTTGTACCCACAGTACCTGGCCCATAATAAATGCTTGTCAGATTGTTGGATATGTAGCTCCTAAAGAATCTTGTACAGGTGGCACAGCAGATAGAGCACTGGCCCTGAAGTCAGGAGGACCTGAGTTTAAATCCAGTCTCAGACCAAACACTTGACACTTACCAGCTGTGTGACCCTAGGCAAGTCACTTAACCCCAATTGCCTTAAAAAAAAAAGAATCTTGTACAGCCAAATGGCCAAAATGCCAATTATTATCTCTATAATAAAGTAATTCAAAGACATTTTATGTTAAAAAAAAAAGCAGAGGTTCAACTCATTGGGCATCTTCTCTTCTTCACATACTTTCTAAATGGCTTTCAGAATTCATAGGGTTAAGACAGTTTACTACTACAAAAAGACTACTTACCTAAAAGGGTAGTGAGGCATGAAATGAACATCTGAATCCAGTAAACAGTCAAGTTCAGACTTTGGATCATTCAGATTCCTGTAGCTATTCCTAATTGAACTGTAGGCTTCCTGAGGGCAGAAATTGTAGTTTCTTGTAAGACTTAGAAGAGAGGGAGCTTAGTCCACAATGTTTGAGATACTGACAGTGAATCCAATAATGATTATCAATTTGGAGGAAGGAGCCATTAAAAATCAAACCTACCAACTTTTAAATAGTAATTTGGGGCAGGGGGAGACTAAGGGAAAAGGGGAGGTGTTATTTTTTATTGCTTTGTTCTTATCATTTTTTTTTATTTTGTTATTTCAGGACGGGCCAAAAAAGATCCTACTCATGTTGCTGAATCTATAATTGATGCCATTAAAGATTTTGCACAGAAAGGATCTGGCCAATCAGTGAAAAAAGTGAAAGTGGTCGTCTTCCTGCCACAGCTACTGAAAGTATTTCATGATACTATGAAAAAAAGAATAAGCTCTAAGCCAACAACCTCTGTGCTCTCAAAAACAAAATGTAAGTTGTACATTTTCTTTAAAGGGCATGTGCCTATGATTTACCTTGAAAATATTTAGAGTAACTTCTCATGACATTATCATTTATTTTTAAAACACTTTTAGGTCTTGCAAGCCAGCCTCCGAAAAAACAAGATAATTTGGTTTTGGAAAAAATAAAAAAATCAGCAACTTTCCAGGTGTGTGGTGAAAGCAAGGAGAATATTGAAAGCACTATCTCTTGGATACAAGATTTGATTTCAAAGGAACACAAAAGTTGTACTTTGTCTGATGAGATAATCAAAAACTTTGGTGAAAAAGAATACATTGAACTGAATGAGCTACAAAAAAGGTTAAATATCACCATTGATGTGAAACATGGAAGGTCTCAAATTGAAGTCACAGGAACTACCCAAGATGTGTTTGAGGCTTCCCAGGCAATTCAAGGCATGATCAAGAGAACACACTTATGTATGGATGAGGAGTCTAAGGCTGAGGAGCTCAGTAGAACCACCATATGGGAGTATAATGACAATGGTCTTTTCAAGCCTTTTGACAAAATAACTAATCTGCATTTAGAGGATGCAAGGAAAGGAAAAAAAAATAACCTTGTTAAAATTAAGAATGAAAACTACACAGTAGACTTTAACACTAACCTTGCTACAAATGGAAAGGGACACAGTTTGCCTGTTCGTCGTATCAAAAAACCTGAAGGTAGGTTCAGCTTTGCTTATTTCCTTCTTATTTATTTATTTATTATTTATTTATTTATTTATTTATTTCGGTGAGGCAGTTGGGATTAAGTGACTTGCCCAGGGTCGCACAGCTAGTAAGCATCAAGTGTCTGAGGCCATATTTGAACTAAAGTCCTCCTGACTCCAGAGCCAGTGCTCTATCCACTGCACCACCTAGCTGCCTCTGCTTTGTTTCTTTTAACATTCTCTCTTTCTCTCTCCTCCCCCTCTCTCTCCCCCTTCTCTTTTTCCCTCCCTTCCTCTCTTCCTCCTTCCCTCCCTCTCTCACTTGTCTCTCTCTACCTCTATGTCATTCAGCCAATAAACCTTTATCAAGCACCTACTTGGTGTCCAGGTACTGTGCTAAGCCCCTGGGAGTACAAAGAAAGACAAAAGACAGTTCCTATTCTCAAAGAGCTAAAAATCTGATGGGGTGACAACATGAAAATAACTATGTACAAACAAGCTAAAATGTTAAAATGAATTAACTGGAGATAATCAGTAGATAGAAGGCACTAGAATTAAGGGGAATCAATAAAAAACTTCCTAAGGAAGGTGGGATTTTAGCTGGAACTTGGAGGAAGACAAGGAAGTTGGTAGGCAGAGATGAGAAGGAGGAGAAATCCAGGTATGGGGGACACCCAATGAAAATGCCCTGAGTCTGCAGTTTCTGTCTCTCTGTATCTCTGTCTGTCTTTCTGCCTGTCTATCTGTCTTTCCCAACTCTCCCTCTCTCTCAGAACCAACTGAACATTTATTCTGGCTCTCTGTTGTTTTGGGCACTTGAGCAGAGGTATCTAACAGGTGATGCCCACAACATTACCCAGTGCCCAGTACCAGATTAAAATGCAATTGGAAAATATTTAACCAAATAAACAAAATACACAAAAGAGATCATTTTAATGTGTGGTTTTCTAAATCAATACATGACTTGCAGGGATTTTTATGTATGGTTTAGTGGCCCCAATTTTTATTGAGGTTTGACAGCACTGATTTAGACTAAAAACAAAAAACCCAGACCTTCCCCTCCAACCTATCATGATTTTCAATCCATTCCTTGGACTTAAAACTTTACACCTTAATAAAATATAGATACTCCCAAGAGGAATAAAATTGTAATCTTTTTCAAATATTCATACCTAAGTAAATTGCTGAATGTACAACCCTCCCCCTGCAAAAAAAATTATAAATTAACTTTCTAGTTTGTAAACTAGTCTCTGCTTAGTTCTTCTTAACTTGAATCAATTTTGTTGATAGTTACAGAGACCGATTTCTTCTGGAAGAACCCATACAAATCACGTTTTTGGACCTAGGAACCAAAATACAGAGCAGAACACAGGTAGAAGCATGACTGAGGCCATCAGATTTTGTTTTGATAGAGAGGCAGGAAGAGAAGGAGCATGAGCATACTGAAGGCTGGGTAGATAAAGAGATGGTGGGAGAATGAGGCTCTACAAGGGGAGTGTGACTCAGTGGGAGGTATTATAGCACACTTGGAAGAGCACTAGATCTGGAATCAGTCAAGTTGGGTTCAAATCCTATTATAGCTTATTACCTATGTGAACATGGGCCAGCCACTTACCTTCCCTTAGCTTCAGTTTTCTCTACTATCAATTGAGGTTTTTGGACTAAATGGCTTCTGAAGTCTCTTGCTAAATCTTTGGTCCCGGTCAGGAGATATTTGACATTGCCTAAGGTTGGCCCTTTCATGGGATAATTTATGTTTTTGTCATTGAAAAGTGAAACACCATTGCAAAAATAATCTAAGTACTATATTCTAGGATAAGAGGTGATTGAGAAAAAGATGAGAAAGAAAATTAGACAAACTGGTCAGGAAAGGGAAATCCCCCAAGAGTGAGAATAACAAGAATCTTCCCCCAGAGTGCCCCATCCACAAGTTAAAAATAGATTCAGAACTCCAGACCCATTTCCTAGAGCAGGGGATCTTACTTTGGGATCCATAAACTTAGTTTTAAATTTTTTTATCACTATATTTCAATATAATTGCTTTCCCTTGTAATTCTCTATAGTTTGTTATAGACATTTAGAAACATTATTCTGAGAAGGGGTCTATAGCTTCTATCAAACTGCCAAAGGAGTCTATATAACAGAAGTCAGTAAACTTTTATTCAGTGCCTACTACATACCAGGCACTGGACTAAACCCTGCGGATACAAAAAGAAGCAAAAGACAGTCCCTGTCTTCAAGGAGCTTACAACTTAGTAGACTGAAACAGAAAAGGTTACAGATAGGTGAAAGAGGGATCTTGACCATCAAGGACTGAGCCACTCAGGAAGATCCAACTAAGATGATTTGCTCCAAAGAACCAGCCAAAGCAAAGAGAGATGGACAACATAAGAAAGAGAAAACAGCTTCCAGGGGCCAGAGTATAGTATGGGGTGGAGAACTTGTGGCCTCAAGGAGATACATCCCCATAATAAAAGGATTTGTTCTGTGAAGTTTGAATTCAGTCAGAGGGCCACATGTGGCCTCAAGGCCATAGTTTCCCCACCCCTGGCATAGTACCTCTACATGAGAGGGAAAGGAAGCAGGTAGGCCTATAATCTGAGGAAAGGTAGCTTTGGAGCCTGGATAGAGAAAGGTGCTTTCTTGCTGTAAGTTTAAAGAACAGGAATCATTGTTCCATGCTATGGTCTGTGGGTCAGGTCACTTCACTTCTCACTGTTCTAGTCTTGAAGACTGTGAGTTGTAGAAAAGGTGCCAGTTTGCATTGGTGGAGACAGTGTTCTCACCCTATAGTTCCTTGTGCCAATGAAATCACAAATCCAGTCCCTAGCTCTATACAGAGTTCATAATGTTCTACATTTTACCAACCAACACAGGTCAACAAGGAGTAGATGACTTGCCCAAGGTTCCACAGGAGCTCAGGGACAGAGCTAGGAATAGAAACAATGCCTTTCCCCTTTGATTCATCTCTCCAGTGCCCACAACAACACCAGACCCAATATAAGTGCTGTTCAACCAGTGCTTGTTGAAAGAGAAAGATGAGGTGGTCTGAAGCTAGGATGGTTATAGGTGGAAAGAACTCAGCTATCCTCAGGTTTCTGCACCCTATATTGAGAACAGAATAGTTCGATGCTGTGGGACTGAGGGAATTAGACACTGAGCCAGTATCAGAGTGAAGCCTAGGGATTTAGATGTCAAGGAGCAGAAGTGATGTGGGCCAAGCATTCTCTCATTTGTACTGAAAAACAGGAATAAATTCTAAGAATTTGTGAAGCTTGTATAGCTGTTAACCTCTTTCTCATTAGTGTAAATGTCTCCATTTATTCCCATGCCTCCACTGTCCCCTGTCTAGCACCCTGGACAGAGATAGAAAGCTGACAGAGTACTTCTTGGTGCTCTCCATTTAAAACAACTGAATATTGTGGTTTGCTGAGTATCATCTGATCAATCAACAAGTATTTATTAAGCACCTACCATGTGCCAGGCCCTATGCTAAAAGCTAGCTAGAAATATAAAGAAAAGCAAAAAGACTCCCTGCCTCCATTGTAATAGGAGAGACAATATGTAAAATAACTAGGAACATACAACATACATACAAAGCAGTTGTAAGGTCATTTCAGAAGGGACAGAAAGCACTAGAAACCGGGAGACTGGGAAAGACCTCCAGAAAAAGGTGGGTTATGTGCTGAATTTGGAAGGAATCCAGAGAAACTAGGCAGTAAAGCTAAGGAGGGAAACATCCCAGGTGCAAGAGACAATCAATACAAAGGTTCAGAAATGAAATGCAGTGTACAGGGAATGGTGAATAGGCCAGTATAGCTGGATCAGGGAGTGAGTGGAGGGGAGTCAAGTGTAAGAAGAGTCAAAAGGTAGGAAGGTGATCAGTTATGAAAGTGTCTATATGCCACATGGGCTGAGACTTAACAAGTATTGAGTGATACCCAAGAACTGGTAAAGGAAATAGGCAAGATGTCTGAGTGAGGTGAGGTGAGGAGGACAAGGCAGGACAAGGGGAAGCTATCATCAAATGAATTCAATTTTTTTTTATTAAATATGAGGCAAAGTCATCAGCTAAGAGGATGGAGAGGGGAGTACTATGAAGAGGTTAGAAAAGATTTGAAATGGTCACTTTTGATGAGCAGGATACCTAATCAGTTATGGAGGAAAAAGACTGCTTGCCATAGTGAGAGTTCAGTTGATAGTAGATAACAGATTTTTAGTCAATCCAATATCATCTTGGTTTTGTGATTTCCTGCAGTTCTATGGACACAGAGCATCTGGAGAGACATGATGGATATATATGGTAGAAATAATCCAGGTGAAGGAGTGGGATGAAGAATACCTTAATAATCATTCCTCTACAGGAAGAGGAGATGGGGGGAAGTGGTTAAGGGATCTCAGACAACTATGGGGATTGGTGATGGAAGAAGCTTAATAGGTTTCACTAGCTGACCTGAACAAGTAAGGCTAGTATGATTATGAGAGAGAGCCACAAGCCTGAGGTACCACAAGAAGTTGATTGACAGTAGCCTCCTGATCCCCAAATTTGGGTTGTGCTTTCTCAGCTGCTAGGATCCTGGATTTTTTTTCAGGTTCTAGGATCTAGTTTGGAGGAACCTATTTTATTTTGTTTATTTTGGTTTTGGAGCTGTGATTTCATGGGTAAAAAGAACTCCAAGTGAGAAAATTCTCTCTATTCCTCCCAGGGAGGAAACACCTTCAAAAGATCAACACCTGCATGTCAACTTAAGAGTCTTAGGAGAGTTGCTGTGGCAGTGAGAGTTGAAATGATTTATCCATGGTCAGGCATCTACCATGTCATGAGAGGAAGAACTTACTCACTTTAAGGATAGTTCTTTCTGCCCATTATACAATATTACTTCTTCATTAACCCCCTTCCATTATAAATTAATGTTTGCTTTCAGTTTGTAATTCTATGTCTTCTGAGTTTTCTTTGCCTCAAATCATTTCTGCAAAAATCATTTCTGCTTGAACTAATAAGATACAGTTTTTGAACCTGCCATGCCAGGTACAGTATCCTGGGACAGAGGTGGAAGGCACTTCCTAATAGCCCATCCTTCCTACCAGCCTTACCAGTTACATTACTGCACCTGCTTTTCTATTTAACTCTCATGAATCCAAGAATAGATGTCAAAGAGGGAAGGAAACAACTATTAACACCTACTATGTGTCAGGTACTGTGTAAGTGCTACCAATATCTCATTTGATCTTCACAACAACCCTTCAAGGTAAGCGTCATTATTATCCTCATTTTACAGTTGAGAAAATTGAGGCAGACAGACACTAAGTGACTTGCCCAGAGACTCACAGCTCATAAATGTCTGAGGCTGGATTTGAGCTCAGATCTTCCTGATTCAAGGCCCAGTGCTCTAGCCACCATACTATCTAGCTGCCTATAAAATATTTTGGGAAGATGAACTCTCAATGAATTTTGCATACTGGTGTTTTAAAATAAAGTAGCAATTCACTCAATTTGATTTAAAATATTTGAAGGAAATAATTGAATCATAAGAGGCAGCATGGTGTAGTAGATAGAGCTTGGATATAAGAAGACATAAGTACATATCCTGCTTCTGACATTTACTAGCTGTGTGACTCTGGGCAAGTCACTTAAAAGCCTCAAGACAACTCTCTTAGATTAAGTTATAGATGGGATACAATCTGTATTGATGCTATAGGTAAAATAATAGACTTGTGGTATATTTGATGTATTAATTTGTTCATCAATTACATGTCACATTGATGGCAGGATCAGCAGAACAAGTGAATACACACCTAAAAGGGCCCCATGTGTACATAGTTTTTTTTTTTCTTAATAGTACAGTATCTTTCATGAGTACTTAATTAACATTTATTAAATTGAATTCTCAAAATCTAGCATTAAGAGAATGCAAAAGAATACAGATGCTATTCTGCTTTTTAGAGAGCTCTAGGAATTTAGATTGCATAATCCTATCCTTCCATATGGGAGGAAATTATTAATCACCAAATATTTGTCTTTCAGTTGAGATCCCTAATCACTGGGATGAGATGAAAGACCAGAACCTTCTTTTGGTGGATTTACCTCCAGGACATCAAGAATACAACCAAGTAAAAGACAAGTTTTCTCGGACTTGTGCTAACTTCACAATAGAGAAGGTAAGCCTACTCTTTATCCTTGCCATTACCTCTAATCCTCCATTCCTCAGTACTTTATCTAGCCCTCACCCCTACTCTTCTCTCTCACATATATATCTAGTCTGAGATTGTTTCCCGTATGCTAGTTGGCCTCAATACTGCCTACTGGATGTTTCCAGCTATATGTTCCATAGGCTTCTCAAATTCAATGTGTCCAAAACAGAATTCATTGTCTTTCTTCCCAAACCCTCCCTTCCTCCCAACATTCCTATTATTGTTGATGGCACTATGATCTTCCTACTTTTAAGGGTTTGCTACCATGTCATCCTCTTCAACACATAACTCAGAGTGAAATGGTTATACCCTTGGTCTTATCATCACCTAGAAGTGTTTCATTTCCATATTCATGAACTCTGAAATTCTTTTATCTGGTCATAATCTTTTATCAATCCTTCGTTCCTTTGTCTGATGATCCCTAAGCCAATTCTTCATCTTCATCAGTTATATTAACTAAAGAAAAATATTGGTGTAGATTTTTTAGTGGAACAGATCTTAGTATTATTCCATGAATCTGACAATAGTAACAATCAGATTTGAGAAAAGGTTAAGTTGGATATTGAAACCCAGATGCAAATTGACCTCTTTTCCTAATCTGAAGTTTCCTGAATCTTTTTAGAATGTACAGTCATTTATTTTTATCAATTTCCAAGGCAAAAAAAAAATGACAATGTGTCCCAAACTGTGAAGATCTTGGGGTGGGGGAAGGAGAAGTAGGATAAGAGGACAATTGAGGCAACCTGGATCTGGAGCTAGCTATTTCATAAATAAATAAATAAATAAACAAACAAACAAATAAATAAATAAATAAATAAATGAATAAATAAATAGGGCTCTTATGGTTTCTCCCTGTTTGTTTTCATTGGTCCAATGCCTATGAAGCCTATGTCTGTGATCTCTGATAAACTCACTTCCCCACTCTAAGAGCCTAAGTTTCTTCATCTGTAAGGTGAGTGTATTGGATTAGATGATTTCTGAGACCCCCTTCTAACATTCTGTGATTCAGCAATGAACAACAATAGCCACTGTTCAGTGTTTTCTAACTCAGAATAGACAAAAAAAAACAACCCCCTAATTATGATTTGCTTTGGAAGTTTTTTTCTATTTATTCTCCCTGTTTCTTTCTTTTTCTGTTGTTTTGGACTCTTCTTATAGCAGTGGAACAGGTTAGGGGCAGAGTTAGGAATAGAAAAAGAGACAAAAGAAATTTCCAAAGGCCAAGTCATTGAAATGGCCTATCTTGTAAATGAGAATGTTAGCCAGATCACTAATTCTTGAAAATTACTTTCAGGCTTGTATGTCTATGATATTTAAGGCTCCATACAAGTGTTGTAGCCCATTTACAAATAGATATCAGTCCCATTCCCCCTCCCCAATGTCTTAAAAATAAAAGACAATAATAAACATAAAAAATACTCAATTTTTGTTCGAAGTTGGTATTTTCCTTTTTTTATTCACAAAAAGCAAGTAAATTTTCTTTTAAAATTTTTGTGGAGTGTTGAATAGTAACAGAACTAAGGGGAAATATGATTAAACAATTTGTTCTTATAAAATTTGCACCACCCAGTGAAGTATTTTTTGTCCAAACATGTTTATTGTGTCTTATTTTCTATTTTTCAAAGACTAATGAAACCTTATTTTTCTTCCAGTTCATCTAGTTCACCCTACAGCAGTGTCTAGCTTATTATCAGACTCAGAATGGTGACCCATCAGTTATTTTTTAACTCAGGGGAAGAGAAAAAAAAACATAGCAAGGTATTAGAACTGGTGGCTATGATGGGTGAGCCATTATCACAAACCCTAGATCTCTTGAGATCTATTAACAAACTTAAGATCAATGAGTCATGATCACAGTCCTAGATCAAACTGTGCTTTAGAAAGGCATTTGTGGTGGAAATTTGTTTTACATGATTGTACATGAATAACCTATATGAGACTGCTTGCCATCTTGGGGAGGGGGGAGGAGAGAGAGTATATAGAAAGGGAGAACAATTTGGAACTCAAAAATCTTATGAAAAAATGAATGTTGAAAATTGTCTTTACATGTAATTAGAAAAAATAAAATACTATTTACATTAAAAAATAAAATAGAATGGCATTTGCAGATTAGGATAGTGTTCAACATCTGTCCTTGAACTTTTGGAGCAGAGTGATTATATGTCATCATATGTGTGTGTGTGTGTGTGTGTGTGTGTTATAAGGGAGGGAAAAGATGAATGTTTCCCAACCTTTAGCAAATGTCAGCTATCAGAAATTAACCAAAAAACTATTCAACTTTATCGTTTGATAATTTATGTAGTACAGACACCCTCTTACTAGTATATTGAAAATGACAACAAGAGAGACACAGTGTGGTGTAATGGATAGAAAATTTGCTTTGGAGTTAAGAAGACTTTGTTTCAAGCTAAGCCTCTCACTCCTATTGACCATATAACCCCAGGGAAGTCACTTAACCTTTCAGGGCTCCAAGCAACTCCCTACAGCTTTGCGTTTCCAAGCAAGTACATATACATGTTGGTTAGGATCCTCACCAGGAGTGCCCTATACTAAAGACATCAGATATGCAATTCAAAACAAAACAAAATTTCCTGAAAGTTAACAAATTAGGGGATATTTATTTTCAAAGAATAATTTTACAAAACTCTAGGTTTAGAAAGTTGTGTAGATATAAAAGTATATCTGGAAAACAAAACAGATTATTTTATGCTCAAAGGAATACTGCCCCTCACAAAATCTAAAATGGTTTCCTATGGATTGATGATTTTTAAATTCACTTCCACAACTATTTCCTGCCTAACCCTATGCTCATTTTCAAAGTGATTTTCCTTTTGTAATTTGTAGATTCAGCGGATACAGAACAGAAGCCTTTGGAATTTGTATAAGACAAAGAAAATACTCATAGATGAACAGAACAAACACACGAATAATGAAAAATTCCTCTTCCATGGGACAGATGTTGACTCAGTGTTCCATGTCAATAGCCAAGGCTTTAATCGCAGTTATGCTGGGAAAAATGGTAAGTAAAGCAGCAGGTATCTTGTTTGCTTCAAAAAGTTTGAAGGTTGAAGTATAGCTTTCATATCACATCATCAGCACCTGAACACTAAAGTGTGTCACCATGGAATCTGCTTTCTTTCTCAATCAATCAACATTTAATAAGCATATACTATGTGCCAGGCACTGTGCTAAGCACTAGGGATAAAAATACATGCACAATGGAAACAGGTCCCGCCCTCAAGGAGTTTACAATCTAATGGGAGAAGATAATATAAAAAGGAAGCTGAAAAAGGCATGGGGGGATGATGGAAAAGTAAGGGAAGACCAACATGGTGTAGCTAGGTGAGAAATGAGAGGCTATCAGAGCTGAGCTCCCTCCTTGAATGGAGATTCAGAGTTCATGATAGCCCTCTTCCCTCTCCCCTCTAATGTGAGAGGCAGAGGGGAGTAATGAGGTGGAGTACCAAGTCTGATGAGATCTTACAGGAGGATGAGGTTATCCTAATAATGAGCTTCCTGGGGCATTGTGGAGAAGTTAGTCAGAGAAGTCTCAAAGTAGTGCAACCAGATTAAAATGGATGATTGTAGTGTCTCCATCCATTGAGTTAGTCCATCAAATCACAAATCTTGGATAGACACTATAGCTAATAAAGGAGTTTGGTCCAGAAATGAACAGGAATGGATTATATAGCACTTTCAGCTATCCCAAGGCAGGTATACATGTGCACACAAACACACACATACACCCCATCTTTTTTTGTCATCAACAGCCTTTCCTTGATGATATATTGCTGTGAATAGGGGAACACAGTAATCTCCAAACAATGAAAATTATAGGTGACTCAAAAGGCAGTGGGGGAGATGCATGGTGTGTGTAAAGAGGGACATATGATGGGTATGAAGAGGATGTGTCACATGGTCATCAATGACTTACCCCAATGCTATCAAACTCAAATAGAAGTGGATCTCTGCAGTCACATTTTGACTTAGAAAACCACAAATTAACTATCTAAGGTACAATTTCCCTTTTATCCTTTAATCTGATTCTGGCTGCCCTCAATAATATTGCTGACCACTTATTCCAAGGGCTGCAAGATTGATAGCTCTGACTTATACTCCATATGTGCCATAAAAGATATCATCCTGGAACTTTATGGCCAGGAAATGAGATGGGGCAGCATGCAGGGGAAGTAGGGAACAAATGAATGGATCGTCAAGACACTGCATTGGTACCCACAGAGAGTAGGAAAAGGTCTCCACCTGTTGCATAGATCCTTTGTAGAGGATTTATGGGATTTATGAACAAAAATTGAAAATTAGAAGGTCAGGATAGGTCGCAATCTGCATCACAGAGAGGAGTGATTAGATCTAGAAGGGCCCTTCAAGTGGATCCAACCCCTTCATTTTACATATGATAAAAATGGGAGTACAGAGAAGGTCAGTAGCTTTCTGAGGACCATACCTGGCAAATTGCTAAGTCAGGATTTGAACCAAGGTCTTTCTGACTCTGCAACCTCTGTTCTTCTCCACTATACCATCTTGTATCTCTAAAATATCACCAAGCTTAGAAAGTATGAATGATTGCTAAGTTGTAGCCAAAATACATAATATTATAAACCTAAGAGGGATTTAATTTCAGCGATAGATCAAAGGACTTCTGTTAGGTATTTTTTCTATTTGTGTCCACTTCACATGAATTATTACTTCCCTTTTCAGCAGGTGAATAACTGTTTCCAAAGCTGATTTTTAAAAAATGATCGCTATATCTTATTTTGTTGTGATGCAACAAATACACTGAAACAAGGCTCACATTCACCAATATAGCCTGTTTCTGAATCCTCAACAGAAAGGAAGGCTCTGTCCTTTCGTTTCGACAGTATGATACTGCCCCACACATCTAACCTGTTGCCAAGGCATGTTTCTATCTTCACAGCATCTCTCATATATATCCCTTTCTCTTCACTCACACAGCCAACACCCTGGTACAGGTCTTCATCATGTGACTCCTGGATAGTTGCAGCAGCCTTCTCATCTCCCTGCCTTAAGTGTCTCCCCACTTCATCCATCTTCCATTCAGTCATCAAAGTGATTTTCATAAAACTCAGGGCCAACAATGTCACTCCTCTACTCAATGAACATCAGTGACTCCTTGTCATCTCCAGAATCAAATCTGAAATGCTTTTTTTGCATTTAAAGACCTTAACAATGTAGCTTTTCCCTATCTTTCCAGTCTTCTCATAGTTTACTCACACACACTTAACAGCCCAGCTATACTGACTTCCCTGCTGTTCCTCACACACTGTATTCCATTTCCTAATTCTGGGTCTTTGCACTAACTATCCCCTGTGCCTCAAATGCTCTCACTCCTTACCTCTGCCAACTGGCTTCTTAAAGCTCAGCTAAATGCCACATTCTGCAAGAGGTCCTCCTTACTGCTATTCTCTACCTTCTGAGATTACCTTCCATTCATTCGATATATATCTTGTACACTGTTGTTCATGTTGTCTTCTCTATTAGCATGTGAGCTCCTTAAAGATAGGGACCATGTTTCTACCTCTCTATTCCTACACTTAGTACAGTGCCTGGCACATAATAAACACTTGTCACCTGACAGGCTGGTTGACCATTGTCCTTTGGGGTTGACTAGAGATTTCTTGCCTCTTTATGTTGACTTTGCTATGCTTATAATAAAGTGACTTCTAGACAGGTTATAAAGAGGCATTAGTTTAATGAAGGAGACTTTGAATTCAGCTTAACAAACATTTATTAGGCAAGTGTTTTGTGAAAATTCTTATACTAGGGCAGGAGAATGCAATGATTAAACAAGGCAAAGACCCAACCTTTAAGGAATTCACTAAGGAGGTGTTTTATATACATGAGTGTGTGTGAGTGTGTATAATTTAAAATGAAAGATTAAATGTGATGAATGCAAAGAGAAAATTCCAACAAAATGAAATGGAAATTTTATTACTTTGATCATGTGTCCAGGCATCATCATTATTGGTATAATAATACACATTTCATAATCTTAATTTTGTAAATATTTTGTCTTCTTTTTCACAGCTACAGCATGGGGAAAAGGAACTTATTTTGCTGTCAATGCCCAATATTCAGCTCACGACACATACTCCAAGCCAGATATCAATGGGAAGAAGCATATGTATTACGTGCGAGTACTTACTGGTGATTACACTCTTGGAAATTCATCATTAATTGTCCCTCCACCAAAGATAACTCAAGATGCTAATGTTCTATATGACAGTGTCACTAATAATGTGAGAAATCCAACCTTATTTGTCATATTTTATGATAATCAGGCTTATCCAGAATACCTCATTACTTTCAGGAATTAACATTTTGGTTTCACATCCAAAAGATACTATGTAGACACTTATTTGTAGCATGTTTTAGCATTCAATGTATTTTTTTAGCTCACAACATTTCAATCTTGTTGCTAAAATTAAAATTTTTTGCATTATCACAAGTGTGATTTTTAATTTATGCTTCTTGTGGTTATTCCCCAATTGATAAATGATCAAATGTTATGAACTGCCAGTTTTCAGATTAAGATCAAAGTCATCTACAGTTATATGAAAAAATGCTTAAAATCACTACTGATTAGAGAAATACAAATTAAAACAACTCTAAGATACCACTTCACACCCATCAATTTGGCTAATATGACAGAAAAGGAAAATGATAAATGTTCAAGGAGATATGGGAAAACTGGAACACTAATGCACTTTTGCTGAATTGTGAACTGATTCAACCATTCTGGAGAGCAATTTGGAACTCTCCCCAGAGGGCTATAAAACTATGCATACCCTTTGATCTAGCAATACCACTACTAGGTTTGTATCCCAAAGAGATTTTTTAAAAAGGTGAAAGTACCTATTTGTATAAAAATATTTTTAGCAGCCCTTTATGTGGTGGCAAAGAATTGGGAATTGAAGGGATGTCCAGCAGTTGGAGAATGGCTGAACAAGTTGTGGTATATAATTGTAATGGAATATTATTGTGATATAAGAAATGATAAGCAGACCGGTATCAGAAAAAATCTAGGAAAACTTATACAAACTAATGCAAAGTGAAGTTAGCAGAACCAGGAGAACATTGTAAATAGTAACAGCAATATTGTACAATGAACAATTGTGAATGACTTAGCTATTCTCAGCAATACAATGATCCAAGACAATTCCAAAAGACTCATGCTGAAAAACTCTGTCCACATCCAGAGAAAAAACTGGAGTCTGAATACAGATTGAAACATGCTCTTTTCACTTTATCTTTTCCATGGTTTTTTTTTCCTTTTAGTCTGTTTCTTCTTTCACAACATGACTAATATGGAAATATGTTTTACATGATTGCACACATACATACTATATCAAATTGCTCACTATCTTAGGGAGTGGGGAGGCAAAGGAGGGAGGGAGAAAATTTGGAAATGAAATTCTTTTAAAAATTGAATGTTTAAAATTGTCTTTATGTGTAATTGGAAAAAATAAACTTATATGCACATACACATATACATGTGTGTATATATACATACACACACACATATACCTCTTGTGAGTTAACAGAAGGCAGGAGACATTAGGTATTACTTTCAGTGTATTTTCTTAAGTCAGAGTCTTTATCCTTGCTGTTGAAATTAGTCCTTTCCCACTACATTGTTGCAGGTTTTGAGATATGCTTTTTGTGAGACAATCAATGGCTGAAGTCATAAGGGGGTTAAACTAGAAAAAGTGAACATTGGACCTGGAGAAAAATGGAGTAGATTCCTTTTTACTCAAAGAGGAGATAAGAAATAAAACTGGTCCTACAAAAGGCAGAAGATGTAGTGCTGGGAGTCTCAGCTTGTATTCTTTCCCTATAGAATCATACTATAGGTAGAATGATGAGTGAAGAAAGAGAAGAGAGCAGATATGGGTGGTAGAGTAATGTAAGGATTACCTTTCCTGGAACACACTGAGACCACATTGGAACGGGAAGAGTAGGGGGTAGGATTGCTTCTCTTGCATACTTAGAAGAATTAGGAATTTTGACTGTCTTGAGAAACACAACTCAGCATTCCAGGCAAAACGAATGAATCACAGACTCTTAGATCTGGAAGGAAGCATAGAGGTCATCTAGATCTGATGGTAGAATCCCCACTGTAGCATTCCAAATTAATGGACATCCAGACTCACTGTCGTGAGGATCTCACTAAAAATAACAGGTAGCATTTATATAGCACTTTAAACTTTGCAAAGCACTTTAAAAGTTTTATCTCATTTGATAATCACAACCCTGGGAGGTAGGTGTTATTTCCTCATTTTATAGGTGAGGAAATTGAGACATAAAGAAATTAGATGACTTGCCAAAGCACACACAGTCAATAAATGTGCAAGGCAGGATTTGATCTCAGATCTTCCTGAACCAACTCCAGTGCTTTTTTCATCACACAACCTTGCTGACTTACAACTACTCCACAATGGCATCTTCTTCTATAATGGGACAATGATCAGAGCTCTTTCCTAATAATGAACCTAAATCTACCCCTCTTCTACATTAGTGCTAGCTCTACTCTCAACTCTTTAAATGCTTGAAGACCACTACCATTAGCCTTGTCATTCCTGCTTATGATGGTTTGTAGACCTATTTAAAATACATACCTATAAGTTTCAGAGAAGGGATCAATCAGCATTTAATAAAGGAAGTCCCTCACCAATAGTTCCCTACACCATTGAAATCATATATTGAGTCAAAGATAAATATTAAAATTTTATGCTATAGGCCATTGGACAACCTTGCTGCTGACTCTGAGTCCACTTAGGCCATTAACAAAAGAACATGTCTTCATTTTCTTGGCTAGCTTCCATGGATTCAAAGGCAATATAAGCAGTTTGAGTTTAACCCAGGACCTTCACTTGGGCATATCCAGGTGTGTGCTGGTAAATTTTTTAACAATGTCTAGCCATGACTCACCTTTAAGTTTAATCTTCATTATTAACATTTCCTTCATCATTTTCTTAAGTTTAGACAATCAACAAAACAATAAATCAAGCCCTGATTCGTAACATTTGCCAATTTCTAAGGTGCAAATTGTTCACACTGAAAAATTGACAACCAGCTTTCCTAAGGTGATTCAAGCCGGTTCTAGCAAATCCCTAATATATTCCCTTCCAATCTTACTCAATCCCAAAGTCATGTCATTATAAAATGTGCAAAGAGAGAAGATTCCACTTAAATCATTTAAATGTAACTGTTCATTTCCAGGATGATTTAGAGAACAACAGTGGAGGGGTGGGGGTGGGGAGGGCCAGATCTCAAACTATACTACAAAGCTGTAATCATCAAAACAATTTGGTACTGGATAAGAAATAGCGAGATTGGTCAATGGAACAGATTAGCTACATAATATATAGAAGAAAATGAATACAATTGCCTAGTTTTTGATAAGCCCAAAGATCCCAGATACTGGGGCAAGAACTCATTTTTCAACAAAAACTGTTGGGGAAATTGGAAAGTAGACTGGCAGAAACTGGGTATAGAGAAACTTCTCACACAACATACCAAGATAAGCTCAAATCAGGTACATGATTTAGATATAAAGAGTGATATCATAAGCAAATTAGTGGAGCATGAAAGAAATTACCTGTCAAATCTATGGCTAGATGAAGAATTCATGACCAAAAAAGAGATAAAGAAGTTCATAGGAGGTAAAATGGATCCTTTTGATTACAGTAAATTAAAAAGATTTTGTACAGACAAAACTAATGTAGCTAAAATCAGAAGAAAAGCAGGAAACAGGGAAAATCTTTGCAGCAAGTTTTTCTAATAAAGATCTCATTTCTAAAATTTCTAGGGAACTGAGTAAAATTTATAAGAAAATGGGCCAGTCCCCCAATTGATAACTGGTCAAAGAATATGAATGGAAAGTTTTCAGAGGAACAAATCCAATATCAATAGTCATATTTAAAATGCTCTAAGTCACCAATAATTAGAGAAAATAAAACAATTTTGAAGTACCACCTCACATGTTATCAGATTGGCTAACATGACAGAAAAGGAAAATGATAAATGCTGGAGGGAAAGTCAAAAAATAAATACACTAATGCACTTTTGGTAGAGTTGTGAACTGGGCTAATCATACTGGAGAACAATTTGGAACTGTACTTGCAAGGCTATTAAAAATGCACATACTCTTTGACCCAGCAATGCCACAAGTAGGTCTGCATCCCAAAGAGAACAACAACAAAAAAGGCAAAGGTGCGGTGTGTTTGCTTCTGTATGTGTGTGTGTGTGTGTGTGTGTGTGTGTGTGTGTGTGTGTGTGTGTATATACACACATATATATATGTATACAAATGTACATCTACACATATATACATACCCACTTATATAATCTCTTTGTGGTGGCAAAGAATTGGAAATTGAGGAAATGTCCATTAGCTGTGGAATATCTAAACAAGTTATGGCATAAGAATATAATAGGATACTATTGTGCTGTAATAAATGATGAAGGGAATGGTTTCAGGAAAAACCTGGGAAGACTTGTATGAACTGATGCAATGTGAAATAAGCAGAATCAGCAGAACAATTTATAAAATAACAGCAGTATTGTAAAGATAATCAATTTTGAAAGATTTTGTAAACTCTGATTAATACAATAACTAATCACAGTTCCAAAGGACTCATGATGAAACAGGCTATCCACTTTCAGAAACAGAGCTGATAGACTCAGATTGCAAATTGAAGCATATTTTCTTCTCTTTCTTCCTTTGGTCTGGCTAATGCAAGAATTTATCTTGTATGAATATACATATACGTAATAGGTTTTTTCTTGTCTTCTCAATAAGGAGAGGAACAGAGAGGGGAGATAATTTATAACTGAAAGTAAAATTGAAGAAAAAGAGAAAATAGTCAATTATGTTTGTTTTTATAAGGAAAGATGTCCTTGGTACTTGGTGTAGGGATAGGGACTAGACTCATGATTTCTTTAGTATACATAACTCCTAAAGGAGGGAACTCCCTCCACCAAAGCAGGTTGGCACTTTCTCAACAATTTATAGTCCTAAAGAGTTACCTAGAGCACTGATTTGTCTAGGGTCACACAGCCAGTATGTTGCAAAGATGAGACTTGAAACCAGATATTCCTGGTTCTGAGCAGGTTCAAAATCTGCTTTGAGACATTTTTTTTAACGTACTATATAATTCTTTAAAGATTCCAATTTTTTTGTATTTTGACAACATTTTCTTGGTATTTTGAGGGATACATGGGCATTTGTCAGAATCAAGAAACTAATACAATGTGAGAAGGGTATTAATATTTCAGGAAATGGTATAATTGTTTTTTTGTGTATATGCACCCATATACATATATACATATAGATATAATCACTACAAAAAAGGAAAGATTTAATTAAAATGAAAATCAGAAAAATGGAGATTTAGAGCTGAATAGAGGGATCCAATTCCCTCATTTTACAGATAAGGAAAGTGAAAGCTGCCCAGAG